AATTGTTGTGATTCAAATGTGACTCAATTGTGACTCAATTGTGATTCGATTGCAGGCCCAAAAGAGCGAGGAGAGCTGTGGCAAAAGCCAAAGCAAAGTCAAAACCGTGTGCCAAAGCAAAATGCAAAGGCAAGGGCAAAGGAAAAGGCAAAGGCCGTGGAAAAGGCAATGGGTTTGGAAGAGGCACAGCTTTGGGCTTGCAAGGGCTGGCTCGCAGGCAAGCAGCGTCACGAAAACGCAAGGAGCAGGTGCTCGAACAAATGCCCGGACCAGCAGTGGAAGAAGATCCAGATATCTCTGAACTCAAAGAGGAGTTGGAAAGCCAGCTGTTGGACATGAATGTCATGGACGATCGAACAAATCCTGATTCATTGCCGGCAGAGCCTTGTGTCCATGCTCCCAGTCCAAGAGAGCCCGCCCCCTCACCGGAGCCTTGCGCCGATCCTCCCAGTCCACACACTGGTGAAGGAGAGCCCGCCCCCCGGCGGAGGAGCCCTGTGTCGATGCTTCCCGTCCACACTCTGTGCTTGGTGGTGCCGGGGTCGCACACGAGGAAACAAAAGTGCAAGCACAGCCATCCAATGGGGCCTTGCCGGATCCAATATCCGGGCCAAGGGACAGTGGAATGGCACAGGCCTCGTCCTCGAGCGGATCAGCCCCTGAGCAGGTCCTTGATGATGCTGCACATCGTGGCCAGGCATCGCAACGTGCTCCGCGCGAGCATGGTCCACACTTGAATAACACTCCCGACTTCCTGTCGGAGTTGGATCCACCCGAAGACTTCAAGTTGCGTCTCAGCTTCAACGATCATCGCTTCAAAGCCGAGATCATGACAAAACAGTATGTGTCAAGTGAGGGGAAAAAGTCTTGCAGCAAAAGCTTTGCTAACGACAGATCAGACTGGAAGCAAGCACTGGCTCAAGTGCATCGCTGGGCGTGGACAGAGTGGGAGAAGGCCAAACCTGAAAGGCAACTGCCGCCTCATTGTCAGCCTGGCACTATCCCTGAGGCTGTCCTGGAACGCCTTGCCCCGATTATCGACGCAATGCCTCCGCCCACAAAGTATGCCAAGTAGCCTCTTCAGTTTTTTTTGGTGATAAACACATCACAGGGGAAAACATGTCAGCAGGTTGCAGATTTCTGTCAATGTCATGTATGCAAGTATCGTGTTCTTAGCTTCAAGTCTTCGGTCGATTCAAGAAGTCACAGGGAGTGAGTTCATCCAGCCGAGTCCAATGTGTGTGAATCTGCTCCTGCTGTCATAGCGGCAACATGTTCGATTCACAATTTTGGCTTCAGCTTGTGCGCAGTTGCTGTTCATTCTGTGATTGAGTCTTTACAGTTACGTTGCAATTACAGTTGCTGAATGCCTGAAGTGTGCAATTGAAGATGACATGACATGAATCATGAAGTCTCACCATAGTTATGCTGCAGATTGCTCGGGGAGAAAGCGATCAGCAAAAACAAGCCTTCCTGACATTGTGTCCTGTTAGTTTGTGGAATGTGCTTGATATGCCAGGCAAGCATTGAATCCATTTGTTGCTCAAGTTGGACCAGAGGTATGGTTTAAAGTTATGTGGGACAACAAATCAATGTATTGATGTCAGTGAATCACCAACATGTCCAATTTCCAGTGGCCGTGCCAGCATGTGCTGGGATCATCGCTGGTCTTCAGTGGTAGTGCTGGGCCTGTGAAGCCAGCACGCAAGAAATGCAAAAGGAAAAAGAATGCTGCAGAGTCATTTGAGTTGGGAGGTAGATCAGTGGAGCGCCCGTGTACTCTTCCTGCCTTGAATTTTACCGATACAGTTTCAAGCACAGGAACTGATGAAATTGATGATCGGTTTGACACTTGGGTAGAGGACGTCTTCGAGCAAACATCGCGATTGCAATGTTCGCATTTCCTTCCGTTTGCTTCCTTGTCTTTCTCCCCAAGGCCGGAGTCTGTTCAAAGTGTTATGGGTCACAGATTTTGTTATAATTTGAATTTTTCATTAATTAATGTAATACTACATAAACTTATCATCATCCTCAATTGATCTTGCTGGCCAGGTCCACAGAGCCTTGGTGTCACAGGCTCATGGTTGCAAGGATTTTGGTGCAAAATTTCTTGCGCTACGACCAGGACTTCAATGTGGGCAGAGTGGCCATGAAATGGCATGGGCTGATTGGATTGGCTTATCCCGCATTGAAGAACCGAACCATCGAGTGTCAGCTGATGTGCATCATTAGCCGTAGCTATGACAACAGAGCCAAGATTGAAGCAGCTTCAATCGATGTGGGACCCCATCAATGTGCGGGGTTGCTGCAATACATTGAATACTATGCAGGGAGCGCCAAACTTTCGAAGAAATTGATCGAATCCGGTCTCCGTGGGTGCAGCTTTGACATACTCTACAATGACGAACACAACATGTTGCTAGCGAAAGGGTTGCGTTTGTTTCTGGATGCAGCCACAGCGTGTGAGAAGAAGGCTTTGCATTGGTGGGGCACTCCGTGCTCTTCTTTTGTCATTATGTGCTCATTTCGTTCCCAACGTGCTGAAAGCAACGGCTGGGAAGGCGCATGGACTGAGCGGGACTTTGTATTGCAGGGAAATTGTCAGGCCCTTGTTTGCTCACTTGGGATTTTCCTGGGATGGGCATGTGAGTGCTGCCCTGTGGTGGAACAGCCCCTCAGCTCCTGTATGCCGCACCTCGAGTGTGTCAAAACAGTTCTATCCTTTTGTGGCTTCGAAAAGACTTGCACCTACATGGGTGCCTTTAACGGAAAGTCAGTGAAGCCCTTGCAACTGTGGCATTTGCCTGGGTTTCATTTTGAGAACCTGGCCAGGCCCAAACCAGATCATAATGCTTTCATTGGTCTGGTAAACCGAGGCGAAGACGGCCGTTTCACCGGTGTGCCAGCAGATGTACAGGCTAGTGGGGAATACACTTCGATGTTCGGGGAAGCAGTTGCGCAGATTGTCCGGAATCTATTGTGACGATCCGCTTCGTCAGCCAAAATACGTTTCATAGCTTACTGAGCTGCATGCTTTTTATTATTCAAGCCAATCTGCTGTGACTGGTTTTTGGGGTGTGAATGCTGTGACACAACAGCAACAGCAGGCCATGCAGCAACACAGGTAAAACAGTGCGATGACTGATGAGAAGGTTGCATAACAATTGAGACACAAGTCTGATTTGCTTGCAGCCTTATGTCGATGTGGCTGTCTCAGTGAACACACTTGGAGGAACAGAATTGATATGGCTCTTTCAGTGAACACACTTGAGGAGGATTCCTCAAGATTTCCTCAATTCGAATCGTCAACCTTGCCAAGCAATGCCATGCTGACTCAAGATTTCCTCAACCTTGCAGCAACCTGTTTAAGTTGACAGGTTGTTCTGAGCAGTGTGAGGAAACAATAGATGCCATCCACTGTGACCTTGCCCGATGTGCCCATGTCGGTGCAAGGGGTCAGTGGCATGGCACAAGTGAACACACTTGAGGAACAATTTCTTGTTGACAATTTGGGAGTCACACCTTTGCAGCTTCTGCCGGCTCTTGCACAGACGTCCTCAGCCTTGCGAAAACCTGTTGGTGTTGCCGGGCTCTCACCCGAAGAGCCATCAAGTTTCCTTGCTTGGGGACACAAAGGCCAGCCATCTAGTGTGACCTTGCCCGACGTGCCAATGTCGGTGCAAGGGGTCACTGGAATGGCACAGCTTCCGGTTGCTCTGTTCACACACCGGCTTGGACAGAAATAATACTACATTTTTTCATGGTTTTCTCAACAATTTTCAGTGTCTGCAAATCTCCAGTTACATTAATTCTGGACAAACCTACCGTGTCGTAACGTATCCAATAAGTCTTTGTTCAGGTTGACTTCTGATTTTGATAACTTTGGTTTTTGCCAAGCCCACTGATCCAGCCCCCGCGGATCCAACCCTACAAACGAGCATATTGAGAAGGATGTGTTGCCGCTTCCGTTGCCCGGAAGCCTGGCAAGCCCGTAGCAAGGCAGTGACTTGCAGTGCAGACGGCAGAGTTCTCGAGTGCCTTGCTCCCCCTTTCCGGGAAACCACCGGCCCTGTGACAAGGTGTGGCGGGGGTTCGGTGGGCTCCGCGTGTGAGGCCGTGCGGTGTCAGCGGTGTAGGCTGACAGGGTAGCGGGGCTGATATGGCAGTTCAGAGTAGGAGCGTTGCTTGTGTTGTGTGTCAAACCTAGAGTGCCTCGCAAGGTCTCTACTGCTCTACGACGTGGATCTTTGCCGAAGCCGGGTGTTCGGGCTTGAGGGGCTCCGAGGCAGGCAGTGTCTGTGCTCCACTGTGCCCAACCGACCATGTACATCTGCCCTGTGCTTCTGAGTGGACAGACGCCTCAGGCAGTTCCGCGACTGACCCTTTGAGTGCTTCTTTCCCTGCTTCTCAAGAACCTTCACTCCCGGTTTTGGTGCCTTCACTCACGTTTTTGGTGCCTTCACTCCCGTTTTTGGTGTCACCCTGTTTTTTTGGTGCTTTCGCATCGTTTTGATGCCTGGGCAGCCATGGTTCAGCATCCAACAAGTCGTTGAGGCAGGTTGTGCAGGTTGTGCAGTTGGCGGCTGGCTTGGCTCATGGGTGCCCTTTTTGGACGAGGCTTTCTGGTATCGTGCGCAGCTTTGTGAACATGAGCGTGCGAGCATGCTGTTGGCAGGTGCGGGCTGCGGTCCACCCTCCAACAGTGGATGAGGCCGTTGTGCAGCTGTTGTTCTCGCGGGTTTGCATTGCAACTTGCCGGTGGAGCATACCTCCGTTGCCACTTTGCAGCGCAGTGCTTTGGTTCAAATTCTGGAGAGATTCGTAATGCCAAAGAAGCGCCCCGCCGCTGCAGAGTCGGAGGACGGCGTCGATACAGTAGGAGTTTCCTGGACAGTTGCTGGAAGCCTGTTCTCCTGCAGGCGCCGGCGCCAAAAATTGCAAAAGAGGCACGGCCGGGTATGCTGTGCAGGATTTCAGATCGAAGCTTGTTTTCTTATCGGATGTTGCAGGATGTGGTGTGGCAGCTGCAACTCGCGTTGGCCCAGCAAGAGACTGCACAGGCACAGGTGGGCACTGCACAGGCACAGGTGGACATGGCTATGAAGAAGTGGGAGGTCGCGGAGCAAGTAGGCGATGAGGAGAAGGTCAAGGAGGCGAAGCAGGAGGTCAAGGAGGCGGAGCAGAAGGTCAAGGAGGCGAAGCAGGAGGTCAAGGAGGCGAAGCAGGAGGTCAAGGAGGCGGAGCAGAAGGTCAAGGAGGCGGAGCAGAAGGTCAAGGAGGCGGAGCAGAAGGTCGAGAAGGCCAAGCAGCAGGTCAAGGAGATGGTGCAGAAGGTCGAGGCCAGGCCGGGGCCTTGTTCGCTGTCATGCACTGTCCGTTGCTTTGCTTTTGTGTTGGGCAGATTGGGGTTCGGAGGCACCAAGGAGGTTCTTTCGTTTGGCTTAGCTTTGGAGGGCCTAAGTTCTTGCGTTTTCTCGCATGCCCCGGACTTGTGTCTTCTCTACCTGCTTGATCAACTCATTCCGAGAAGGTCGCTTCCAAAGACTTCGACATAGCAGCGTGTACGCGGCCTCCGATCAAAGTCCGACCGAGCCACTTCGTGCAACTTGCCCCTTGTGTGTCAGCCTGCATCGAGGCTGTGAACAAGCGCTTGCCAGAGCAGACAGAGGCTACCAGTGTGCGAGTTCCCCCGGCGGTGCTCTCCCGGTGCATGCGCGGGGGCAAGACCACAGTGCTGATGCACGTCTTCGACGAGCTGAAAGAGAAGTCCAAGAACCCTATTTTCATAAGCTTTAATGGGGACTCGCTTATCCGGCAGCTCGAGAACGAAAGCTGCCTGGAAACGATGCTGAGGGCCATCGCCGTTGCACTGCTGACAACGAAGCCCGCGAAGCGTGATGAGACTGCGCGAATTCTCTGTAGGCAGAATGTCTTGGAGGAGTACCTGAAGGACAAGAAGGATGTCGTCCTGATCGTCGACGAGCTAAATGTTTTGCTGAAGCCAGACAAGTCAGATGATGGCTATGCAGAGGTTGGCGCGTTCCTGCGGGAGCAATTCCTCGACCCTTCAGGCCGATACCTGATTTTCAGCACTCATGTTCCAACCGGCTTCGGCCTGTCCCATCTTTTGGGCAAGGGCTCAGGCAGCACTCGTACAGCAGAGACTATAGAGATGCCCAGGTCGCATGACATGCCGTCACTCAGGAGCATGGGCGAACAATGTGAGGCTTTGACTCCTTGCGAGGCTGCGTACTATGGACGAATACCATCCCTAATCTATTCCGTGAAGATGCCGCACAGCAGCTTCAACATACTGGAACGGTTCCAGGCAGTAGAATGTGGGGAACCAACACAAGCCTTGATCGCATCTTTTCTCTCAGAGTTCTTCACGGGTGTGCGGAGTGCAGACTCAGATCCAATACGAGCCTTCGACACCCTCACCGAATGCCCAGCCAGCGGACGGATTCGGTGGATCCTTGCATATGTGGGTCAAATGTGCTCTCACCTGGGATTGTCAGAAATTGCCGGTTGGGTCGACGAGATCCCCATGCTATCGGAAAAGGTCGATAGCTGCCTAGACTGGGAGGCCATCGTCCTGGTCGCGCTCAGCCTCCGATGCGTCCAGGCCAAGTACAACTATGTCCACCCGCTCTTGAATCTGCCAGAAGGTGCTGTGCCGGTCAAAGACGTTTTCCTGAAAAAAGTGCCACAGGATTGGTGCAAAACGCTGCCCGACATGGTGAAGTGGTGGAAGCAGAGGACCGTATCACCTGATGCATTCCCGTACATCGCAGTGTTGTCGCCAAACTTCGCAAAGACGGAGGTTGTTGACGCAGCATGGATCTACAAGCAAGATTCAGCGAGCAACTGCGTGGTGCGGGGCGTGCAAATGAAGCTGGGAAGAACTGTGCCAAGAATGCCACACGACATGCTTGGCTTGGTTATGAGAGGAAGAGCACCATCAATAGGCAAGCGGGCCGAGGGCTGGGTGTACCCGAGCTCAGGTGACATTCGTGATTTTTTGGGTGCTTCCTTGTCAGCCCTCTATCCTTCTGACTGGCCTCGTGCAGACGGAAGCTGATTTGTCCACGTTTTTCTCACTGCCGTGCTCGTTTCAAGAAGGAGCCCTGTAGTTCTACAAATCATTATCATAAGACTGTTTCACCCACAAGTCTGGAATTTAAACGGCGGGAAGTGGACAGTGTCGAAGAAGAAGGTGTTCAAGCCTGCGTGCTCAGTTTGGCAAGACTGCACCATGGAGCAAGCGTTTTGTGAGTGCGAGTGTTGGCAGGTGGAGGGAACTGCGGCTGGGCAAAGGCTCGTGAGATTGTGGAGCAATCGACCTAGCCTTCTTCGTACCAACAGCTCAGGCGGTCGCAACAACTTCGTGACGTCAGCGCCAGGCAGCTGGTGCCCGGTGAGTAGCCGGTTGTTGCCTTTGTTTGTCCTTTCTGGTATCGTGTGCTACAAGCTCGAATATCCACGGGCTGCGAGGGCCGAGCTGCGTTGGGAGCTGCGTTGGCGGCTGAGCTTGTTTGTGTGGGAGAGGGCTGCAGCAGGGACTGGTCACGGAAAGCAAGCCTTAAACTTTTCCTTCCTTCAACGCCAGATGCTTCCATCAAAGTTGATCCACCTGATGGGTGCTCGCAGGTTACTGCACACCTGCCACTGGATGAAAACTCGCTCACGAGGTCACCTTCATCTGCAGCGTGTGTCAGGGTTGGCAACTCAGAGCTCAGGCTGGGCCCTATGCGAGCATGAGGACTCACGTGATTCAGGGACCGACGCTGGTGGCACACTCATGGGTGAGAGGCCGTGAGTGGCTGTAGAACAGCGGCAGAGCGGTGGTGCGGGGGTGGGGCATAAAGGGCAGAGCTTGGGCTCATGCCGAACTCATGCGTAGCTCACTGGGCTGATCATTTGGGGTTATGTGGGGCTCATGCTTGGGCAGCTCATGCTGGGCTCATCTGGGGCTGACGCTGCATACTGGGCTCCTGCTGGACTCATGCTGATGCTGAGAAGGCTGATATGCCCGCCCGCAGATGCTCATCTGCATGCAGCCCTGCTGATGCTCATCCGCCCGCCCGCTGAGCGTCCATCCGCCCGCTGATGCTCGCAGATGCTCATCCACCCGCCTGCCATCCACCGTCGGCTGATGCTCATCCGCCTACCCGCTGATGCTCATCTGGCTCATCCACGGGCTGAATTGTAGCCTCTGGAGGCTGTCTGGCTCATTTACCCCGCTTACCTTTACCTCATTTGCCTTGCTGTGGGCAAGAAGCTGCAGCCGCGGGTGGAGGCACTGGAGAACTGCCGCAAGCTGCGCACTTCAACCCCGTGGCTTCCCCGGTTGCCCTAAATCCCGAACCCTTCGACCCGAACCCCTAGAACCCTAGCCCTACTAGGCTTCCTCGCATCGTCCCAGCGTGTACAGTGTGTCTGGTCGGCATGTTTTTTGATGCTACACGTGCTACATGTCATGTTGCATATGTAGCATGGGAAATCGGGGCCTTCGGGAGGGTCGGCGGTGAAGCCGAAAAACGTCAGGTAGCATATGTAGCATGGGAAATCGCGGCCTTTGGGAGGCTCGGCGGTGAAGCCGAAAAGTCAGGTAGCATATGTGTAGCGTGGGAAATCTGGGCCTTTGGTGGGGTCGGGCGGTAAATCCGAAGAGCCAGGTGGCATATGTAGCATGGGAAATCGGGGCCTTTGGGAGGGTCGGCGGTGAAGCCGAAAAACGTCAGGTAGCATATGTAGCATGGGAAATCGCGGCCTTTGGGAGGCTCGGCGGTGAAGCCGAAAAGTCAGGTAGCATATGTGTAGCGTGGGAAATCTGGGCCTTTGGTGGGGTCGGCGGTAAATCCGAAGAGTCAGGTGGCATATGTAGCATGGGAAATCGGGGCCTTTGGGAGGGTCGCGGTAAATCCGAAAAGTCAGTTCGCATATGTAGCATGGAAAATCGGGGCTTTCGGGGCAGTCGGCGGTAAATCCGAAAAGTCAGGTAGCATATGTAGCATGTGGGAGGGCCGGGGTGAAGCCCAGATCTCTTGGGGGATGGAGCTGAGGAGAGGTTGGGGTGGCTGTATGTTTATCTTTAATTATCCTATTCTATAATATAATATAACATAGTATAGTATAGTATAATATAACATAACATAACATGACATCACACAATATAGTATAGTATAATATAGTAATGTAGTATAATAATATAGTATAGTGTTTTACTATAATATACTGTACTATGCTATACTGTACTCTAAACGATTTATAGGAAGCAGAGCCCCTTGGCCGTAGCATCCCAATCATCCCTCCACAAACACCCCATCAATCTACGCGCTACTTATGCTACCTGACCTCCTTCGTTTGCTCCCCCGACAAACCCCCCCCATTCTACACGCTACATATGGTACGCGACAAGGACCCTCAATTCTACATGCTACATGTGCTACATGACTTTTTCGTTCGCCTGCCGCCCCGCCGGACCCCCGATTTTACATGCTACATATGCTACGCGACTTTTTCGTTTGCCATCCAGCCCCCGCCGGACCCCCGATTTTACATGCTACATATGCTACGCGACTTGTTGTAGTTTGCCATCCAGCCCCCGCCGGACCCCGATTTTACATGCTACATATGCTACGCGACTTGTTGTAGTTTGCCATCCAGCCCCCGCCGGACCCCGATTTTACATGCTACATGTGCTACGCGACTTTTTGTCGTTTGCCATCCAGCCCCGCCGGACCCCCGATTTTACATGCCTCACGATCCCTCGGCACAGCCCCCCACTCTACATGCTACATATGCTACCTGGCCTTTCTCGATTCCTCCACGCCCGGGCGGGAGCCGCCCCATTCTACATGCCACCTATGCTACCTGCCCTTTTTCGATTGCCCGGCAGGAGCCCCCATTTGACATGCTACCTATGCTACCTGCCCGTTTCGATTTCTTCCACGGGACCCCCAGTCCACGCGCTACCCGCGCTACCGGGGGTTTGGGGTTCTCGGACTCCCTGGTCCATGCGACTTATGCCTGCTTGTCATGTAGCATGTGTAGCATCCAAATCAACGTGCCTTCTTCTGTCCTGCTCGCAGGAGCCGAATCACCGGAACCCCCGGCATGCCTGGCATAGAGTTTTAGGGGTTCGGGCCAAAAGGCTCGGGATTTGGGGTAACCGAGGGACCCCTTGCGCACTCCGTGGCTCCGGCACCCGCTCAAGCACACCTGTGCGAGAGCTGCTTCATGTTTCAACAAAGTGCGACCCACGGCCTCGTCTCCTGCGCCGGGGTCGGACCGCCCGCCCCGCAAAACCGAGTGAGCCATATGCGCCTGCACGAGACATATAAGTGCAGCATGCAGAAACGACATGTGTGAAAGACACGCAGAAAGTCCCACATCCCTTGTGCACTTGCAACTTCCAGGACCTCGACCCACCCTCGCCGCAACCCTAAAGCTAGGAATTTATGACCGTCTCGGGTAGATGTGACCCCGCTTGCTAGGAGGGGCTCCGGCTACTCAGGCGCCGGCTGCTTCGTCAAGCGCAGCCAGCCCCGGGCGTTGTCTTTGTAACGCAGATAGTAGCCGCGAGCGCAATGCACGTGCTTCAGGCACCCGGTTGGCGGTTGTCACGTTGTCGATGGCGTTCCTGGCGAAGCCCTAGAATGCCTTACTGATCTGATCTCCGTCTCCTTCGCTGGCCTGCTTGAAATCGTCCAGCAAGTAGACGAAGTCCCCGGCAGTGAAGCTCGCGAAGGCCTCCTTGACGAGCTCAGGTTGCGGCTGCATGGGAGCACCGAAAGGCTCCTCATACACTGCTGAAGCGACCAGGGTTGTTGGTCGAGAACTGAAAGACACCGGAGCCTTGTACAAGCCCCGGCAAGAGCTCCAGGTCGTTGGTCGCGCCACAACTTCAGCGTCTTGCTCTTGATCTGGAGTGTGTTACCTCCGATTCTGGGATGCTCAGCACCCTCCTCGCTCTCACCCGCAAGGCCTCCGGGTTGGCAGAAGCAACGTTGAAGTTGGTAGTGACAGGCTGAAGTCCGGTTCGGCATGATAGGAACCCAGCACCTCATCGATCACCGCTGTGAATACCCTCTTGCCATGCCCTCCGCCCAGCAAGTGACCCCTGTCCAAGAACTGCTTCCAATCAGACCGCTGGCCTCGAACTCGCGGAACTCCTTTTCGGGGAAGGGCATGCCTGAGCATCGCGTCATGATCAGATCGGGCTCGCAACGCTTGATCTCGTGGCTGTCCTCGTCCACGACCCAACCGTCGGCAAAGAGGAAATACGTCCTGGTCTCCTTCGCATCCATGTTCAGGAGCTGCTTCATGAGTGCGGTGACCGCGGCGGTCATTCCCTGGGATCGAGCAATCCAGTTGGGCAGGCGGTCCTCGTTGTTCTCTGTTCAGGTCGTTTTTCCAGACCCCTCGACGAGCTCGGTAAGCAGCTTGAGCAACACCGGCTCCGTCTCCCCTTCGGTGTGAAGCACCCAGCTGGGACCAGGTCGCCACGGTACTCGCTCCCATGCACTGTCACCGGCTTATGCGCAAGCAGCTCCGACAACAGCAGCTCGGGGCACTCCTTGCTGGACATCATGAACTGCCCGAGATTCACACGTTTTTGCTCTATCCGGAGATCTGTACTCCTTGATCGCCGTCTTGACCCCGACATCCTCAGCCGTTTTCACGAGCCCGGCCTTCCACTCCGCCGTCGCGGCCGACGGCGGCCGCAGCTCCATCTGGATGCCTCACAACGACACCGTCGTGCTCGATCGAGACTACGATGCCTAAGTCGTCCTCTTGCACGCTCGAACCGCTAGCGCAGCGCCTCCATTAACGTGGCCTCCGGGAAAGGCTTGCCTGTTCCGGAGCTTCTTGATCAGGGCGGGATGCTCCGCCGCCACTTTATTGCGGAGCGTCTTCTGCTCCTCCACAAAACCCAAACATCTTCACCTAGCCGCGACGCGTGCAAGAACTGGCGCCGCGCAACTGCGGCCTGGTGGACCTGGACTGCGTTATAGCTGCGCGGCCACGATGCAGCTGCAGAAGTGGGGCGGCGAGCTGGATGGCCAGAAGCAGCTCCCTGCTTGAAGCGCTGGGTGGAGGGTTCGCCGAGATGAGCGGCAAGGACGGATGCCCTCGTCGTCCTCCGCTTCATCCTCGTCGGCCTTGGCACCCTCCTTCTTCGGCTGCTTGGCGCTTTTGTCATTCCGCTTCTTCTTGGCATTCTTGTCCGCGTCTTCCGGCTTGTAGAGGGCCTTGATGCCGGAGCGACGCCTCCGAATCCACTCGATCACCCTTAGGTCGGACTCCCAGTGCGGCGGTGTCATGCCTTGGCTCACCTGACGCGGCTTCTCGCTTCTGCAAGAACTTGAAGAGGATCGTAGTTGATGAGCTTAACCAGGATGAAGCTGGCAAACTTCGCCACGGGGCCAGGGACCCTTGCCTGCAGCGTTTCGATCTTTCTTCAATGCATCGGCATCTCTGGCTCCGGCTCCCCACGGTCAAGCTTCAAGGCCTTCTCCTGGTTCATGTTCAGCATCTGGTCGAAGCGACTGCTCGATCACGCCAGACGCGGCCGTACTGCAGCAGGCCCAGGTCGCGGCCCTTCTTCGCCTGCGTGCTCAGGTTCATGAGCTGCAGCTCCACCTTGTCCTTCTCAGCCCGCGTGCGGCCCACCGCCTCGGTTTCCACCGGCGGATCCTCCCCCATCTGCTCCTCTTCTTTGGCTTCATCGTAGAGCTCCTCCAGCTCACGCTCAAGCACATCCGATCCTGACGCAGCCACTTGGCCCAGAAAGGCGTCCAACAGCTGAACTGGCATCGTCCTGATCGACTGCCCCCATCAAATCTGCAGCGAAAGTTTCCGGGCAATCGCAGCCCTGCAGAGACCGTATCTGGACCATCTCGTAGGGATTATCAGCTGTCCGAAGGTGGTCGTGCGCAAACATCTTCACAGCGGGGCTCAGGCAGAAACACCGTTCAGCATCCATGTAGGGGGCCTGTCAAAGGATGCATTGTAGAGCTAGGGTGATGCGATGATCGGCAAGCCTCCAGCTGGAGCTCTGCCCCGGCTCCGTGATCTCCGCCATTGGCTCATCTGCCTGGTCGAGGGGCTGCGCGCCCAACTAACGCAAGTACCGAAACTAGCCCTGGACTGGCTCAAGGGAGTCTGCAACCCATACGTTGTGCCAGCACCGCAGCCGAAAATGGCAAAGCGATACGTCCCGGACGCAAACACAGCTCCGCCCCACCTAGCACATTGAATCGCGAAGGTATGGTCTTGGATGGTCTTGGCAGAGAGGCTTCCCGGTCAGAGAACTCTCGTAAACTGCTGTCCTGGCTTCAAAGGTGCGACCTACGACCCGACCTTGCGACGCAGTGAAGGAGCTGTCACTGGTGACAATGGGTGCGGACTGCTTCAAGGAGCCATCGACCCGACGGCGGATACAGAGAGGAGGCTCGTACCCAAAGCCATGTCACTTGGCCTCGGCTTCGAGCCTAAGGCCGACGTAAAGCAGGCACGAAGCGAAAACGGAACTGCAACCGTGCTCGGCTGCTCGACTTGCCCTGCTAACTCGATCGGCATCTTACCGATTTGTTTGGCCGCTCTGCACTGTCAGGAATTCCCCCATGTCAAGAGGCTGACGGAAGAAATAGAACAGGTAACAAGGATATACGCAGAAACTCTCAAAACATCAACGCAACCAAATCAAATCGAGCGATTCGAACATCTGGGCACAAACATTAACAGTAACAGTGTCTCCCTAGCTCACCACAGCTCTTCCACATAACGCTGCTCTGTCTTTAGCCTTTCAAGGTAATCTGCGCTGCCCAGCGCAAGCTCTAGCTCGTCGCGAACCTGGAAGGCGTGATGCCATCAAAACACACCGTTGACGGACCTCAGGGCGGGCTAGGCACTGGGCCTGCTTGCCCATGCTGGTGGCGCCACATACGTAGATGTAGCCACCGTCTGCTATCATCTGTTTCACCTGCCAGTAACATCTGCCCCAGCCGAGCCTGGCAGAACAAGTATGCGCTGCCTCTGCTGACTTCTCCTTCAGCTTGTGCTGTACATACACCTTCCATGCTGCGTCAACCAGATCCGACGGCAAACGAGTTTCTCTCTGCATCAAGCACCCTCGGCTCCTTCTCCTTCTGCTCGCGAGAAAATGCAGTTATCAACTCCTTGAGTGCCGGCGGCTTCATTTCCACAGCCTCGCAAAGCTCCTTCGCAAATACTGACAGACTGGTGCAGGCATGCATTGCTCGTCATCGTGATTTGCTTTGGAGTTCTTCCTCCGTTGATTCATCTTCCGGTGTATGTTGGCATGAAATTTAAAAGCGCAGTCCGCGCAACCCCGAAGAGACTGGACCAAACGAAGGGTAGCTGTCCAGTGTCATCTGTATGGGTGTCGGTGGCCAGCTTGTTGTATGCACGCATGCTCCAACACATCTGCTGTGCTCTGCACCCTGTGAGAGTTAACGACAACAACCCAAAGCAAGCGCGGCGCACGCGGGCTCCGGTTTTCACTCGAAATTGCTGGCTGCCGGCTCCCTTTGCACGCCACGGGCTCGGTCTCCACGTCGACTGCTGCGAATTAGGCTCGATTGCTTGGAATGGCGGATAATTGTGAACGGATTCGGTTTTCAATATGAGCTTTCCGGGGTCTCTAGATCCCCAGGGTAGCGGTTTTTGTTCGAATTGTGGTTGGGCTGCATGGTCTCCCGCATCAGCAGGGCACCAAGAGCGAATAGCATGAAAGTGAATAACTGATCGAGACTGGGCTCTTCGGACTAAAGCGCTGGAACAACCGAAGTGCATGTTGCCGAAGCCTAGGCCTAGACCCGATCCAGTGACCCCATCGCGCTCCCGTGCAAATCAACAAGTGTGGCACTAGATTTTCACAGCAGCAGATCGTTGTAGGCTGGTAACTCGGCGGCTGGTATTCAACAGTAAAAAATTCTGAGCAGCTTTACCAGGCTGCTAGCCACTGGTGGATCAATCTCAAGCACTACCTTTTAATCTAGTGCATGAATGCGCCTCCTTGTAAATGAAATCCTCATCTCGCTTCGTGCATCCGAAGAAAAGAACGGTCTTCGTCCGGCACCTCGTCATGCAATCCAGCATAGATCAACTCCACACCGACACTCGGATTGATGTTGCAAATTGTCCGCTGCTCTGACTGTGAAGAAGGGAACGGTGCACCACTGCTCAGCCGCGCACCCGCTCTCAGCTCTAAACTCACGCACGAAGCCTCGAAACGGTGCCAAGCCTGTGCCAGCACCTTGTTGATGCGTGCAGCTGGGCTCCGGAGGTGAACTGGAACACAGGAGAGGAGCAGAACAAGAGCAAAGCACTCTTGAAGTGAAAGGCTGGGAGACGGAGCAACCATTGCGGTGAAGTGTGAGGCTCGGCACGCGGGTGCTTAAGCCCAGGATGTTGTAGCCGTAGATGAACAGGAGTCGTTAGGGTTTCTGACGACCCGACGCCATCAAGCGGCCAGACTCGAAAGGTGTGCATGCACTTGCATCCAGGCAGCACGTTGCGGCGCTCGGACAGGCAAAGGATCGTCCTCGCTTGGCAAGGTCGTGGCATGGGTTGGGTCATTCGCGGTGAGTGTCATCGTGTCAACCTCAAGAAGGAGGGCACAACAGGACCGGGTTGAAGTAACACATCGTTTGCGTCCCAGATCGTGACCAAAATCTTGCACAGACTTGGGATCCCTACCTACAGGCAGGCTTTGGCTCGCGAGGCAAACGCTCGACCCAGGGTTTTGCAGCGAAAACTGCCCTGCTTTTCCGCTTGACCTAGCCGCACGGCACGCTTCTCATCTGCAGCTTTATTCGGGCGCAGCTTGGCCAGCATGACGACACGCTGTTTGTGTTGAGCAAGGTACCTTCTTTGCACCTTTTGCCCCCCGCTTGCAGCTCGAAACGGATGCAGCTCTGCAGAGGAACCACCCGCGTAGTGCGCGATGGAAGAAAGACCGATATGCCAGGCTGACTAGTTGTGAGTTGGTGACGCGTTGCTATTGATCGAAATGAGGGTCAAACGTTTCTCTATTCTTCCAAGCGCATGTCTTCTGTCATAGCAAGATAGCTGCTGTGTCCAGTGAGTCATGCAACAAGAGTCACAGCCTCCGACAGTAATGTTTCCTGCCCAACTGACCTGCAATCATACAGCCGTGTCTTATCTCTTGTTGGCAACTCGGCTCATGGTATTCGCTGTTCCGGGACACGGTGGTCTTCTGCACCTTCGTTACCTAATGGTCGAGGTTGGTAGATCGAACCACAGCGAGTGACAGTACGTGTACGAGAAGTGAGAACTCGTATATGCAACTTCTCGTGATTTATTATGAAGATACTGTCCCTGTTGATCCGTCCATCTGCCACATTGCCAAGCATGAGCGGATAATAGGACGCAGGCGCCAGCATTTTCAGCATAGAAATTTGAATCCGAACTGCATAAAGATTCCGCCTGAAACTGATTGACGTCCTGGCTGCGCCTCAGTTCTACCTGCTTGTAGTTGTGATCCCCTTTTAATTTTCTTGACACGACAGACACTTCCTTTTCTGGCCAACCACGTAAAATGCACTCCTAAGCAGGCTCAGCCAGAGGTGCCACAAAGACGTACTGTACCGGACTAAGTGGCTGCCAACCCTACAAGCCATAGTAACTCGTGCCTGCAAGATGGGAGAATCGAACGGTTTCATGCGGTTTTACACCTTAAATGAAGCTGCATCCGGCTAAGTTCTTGTGCCATCGTTCGCCCATTTCCCACGAGAAGCACGAGATGCAACCGACTGGTTTTGATAGCTGTTAAGAACAGGCTTCTCACAGAGAGCCGTGACGGGACGGGGTAGACTTCGAACATCTCTTGTGCCTTCAATCTGACACCCCAAACCGACGAAACCTACTGTACATGCTAAGCCTCGAAGCAAGATCGAATTGAGCAGCATTGCGCTGTTTCCAGCCACAGCCTACGAGCACCTGAACCGACTGCGAAGCTTCGCAGAGCTGAGTAACTGAGTACTTCTGCAAGCCTGGCGGCCTAGCCGAGCGAAGCATCCGCCCAGCACAAACAGTGACAAACAGGGGGAATTCTTCAGTGCCGGCGCTGGTGGGCGTCGCTGTCAGCACATGGCTTGAGACTGCATGTCAGACGTGCAGCTGTGCGATGAGGCTTGGGATTCTGTGAAGGACGACGATGTCTCACCACAAGCTGTGCCTGTTCAGGTCACGAATGCGAAGCGTCCGGGGGAGCTACTGGCAGACAGGACTGCTTACGGCTCGCATCTGAATCTGTGAGTGCAGGTTCGTAGGAGGTCCAGGACGTATGCGCTTCTGCCTGGATGTAGAACACAACTGAAAACATGCAGCCTTGCGCCGACAAGGATGGACTCCCTGCACTGCGCGCCTTTTGACAGCCGCAGGCAGGACTCCCCGAGTCCCGGGCCAAGCTTCCAACCGAGGAACTTTGTAGCCTGAAAGCTGGGCCGTACAGAGGCATGATGCCAGCTTCCAAGCGCCAACGCCAGGAGCTTAGCTCTCGAACTCTCGAGTCTTGGCTCCGAACTGCCAGAGACATCGGTTTTTTAGGTTAGACGGAGATCGTGTTACGGTAGAGCTGCGTCGGATGTTCAAAGGATCACAGTGGAGAAACTGAATTCCATGCTGATTCATGAGATTTCCCTGCAAGGGGACATTACGTTTACACGGACAGATTTCATGTCTTTGTTCAAGGAGTGTTACGTGTTGCACTTGCAGAAAAGAAGTAACTTCAACTCTTATGGGATTCCAAAGACCCACACTGTTGTCAGCTCCTGTTCACCCCAGCCACATCGTTGAACATGCTCTTCTCTAAATGCACTCGTTTTTTCAGTGGATACCGGAAAATGATGATCGCCTGTATTGCATGTCTTTCAAACTTGCGAACATCTTCCTGTAAATGCTGAAGCCGATGTCCGTGTGAGAAGAAAACGCGAGGATTCCGACGTTGCATATTCAGTCCTCGCGATTTCCCCGTTAAGAAATCTCTGCTGTTCCCGAAAAGACATCTGCTTGGAGCCAGGGGGACCGGACCGAGAGGCTGTGCTCTTGCGTGCCACTGAGGTGTCTCCCCACGCTTGCCGGTTCCCTCGGAGGTGTCCGAGCAGGCTGAAGGATGCACCGTCTGGAAGCTTACACCGGCACTTGGAAGACAACCGATTGCCGGCACTTCCAGGAGAAGGTGCAAGTGAAGCGCAAGCCAGCTCCGACTGGCGAATGGTCGCGACCTTATAGCATCACGAAGCCTAAGCGGTGGTGTCCGGAAGTGGCTGAATCGTGAGCCCAGGTTCTGTATCACGACCGGAATGCTCGAAGCTCAGTTTAAACATGCGGCATGCAGTAGCTGACGGGCAAAAGCCATCTCATGGAGTTGGCAGGTAGTGCTTTTCAACCCCGGCGAGAAGCCTGCCTTCCGCTCGCGTAGGCTCTCCGTGGACGAAGCACTGGCCTCAATGCTTCACTCGTTTCACTGCTGAGGAGAAAGGTCTAGGTCTTGACGGTAACTGCATGTTTTCTACACCTGAACTGTGCCTGGACTGCCTGGAAAACGAATGTATTATTTGGTCGACAAAGGCAGCGCCTGGAACCGAGTTGTCGAACCGCTCGGGACGATGCCCTCTCTGTGCGCCACCGAGAAGGTTCTTTGAGGGCCCTCCTCGCACAGCAAGAGGTCTCAGGCTTTCGGTCGTTCGCTCCCGGTCTAGCACACAGGTATTCCGCCTGCAAACCCAACACAAAACGTGTCACCGTCCCTTCCCCGGCGCGGCCTTTCCAAGGCAGGCAGACCGTCGACGCCCGCTTCGCGTGGAGCCAGCAGAATTCCAGAGAGACACACGCACACGCGCTCGCAGAAACATGCTCTCTCTCTCTCTCTTTCTCTTTTCTCTTTCTCTTTCTATCTCTCTCTCTGTTTCTCTGGTCTCTTTTCTCTTTCTCTCTCTCGCCTTCTCTCTGTAGCTCTCTAACTCTCTTTCTGTCTTCATCTTCCCACTATGCTTTGGCTGCCAGGTTTGCGGCGCAAGCATGCATCCATCATGCGTGCGTGAATGGGTTTTATTTTCCGCCGAAAGTGTAGACAAAGTTTGTCGAAAAAGGAAAACAGTGTTTTCACTTGTGTGTGAGTGACACTAGACAAACTTTGCCGTGCAGCTTTCGGCTTGGAGTTGGATCTGTGATCCAAAAAGTTTTTGTAGAGTAGCTTGTAGTGCTCCGCAGCAGTGGGGGTCGTCAGCGACGTCCTTCCACTCCCTTTTTATAACTGTCAGTGGCAGTTATGGTTGACCAAGCAGCCCGCAATTACGCGGCTGAGTCGCCAGAGGCGCCGTACCCTAGAAGGGACGGTCGAGAGAATCAGTTGGCAGCGCCACAATGTTTGCAACGCGTGCGACAGTGTCGCTCCTGCCTCCGTTTTTTGCAGTGCAATCCAATTTTCGTGCTAGAGCAGGCCATGCGTGAGGAGATGGCACAACAGGAGATAAGTTATCTCCTTTGGGCCATTAGCTGTGCCATGCGGGTAGACCCCGCGGTCGTCAGCGACGACCATGAATCTCTGAACCGCGCAGGGGAAGGGGAGTCCAAAGTTTGGCCTCCCTTTTACCCTTTCGCGCAGATGCAAGGGGAACAACCGGACACCTCAGGCAGTGCCTATCCGATGCACCGGTATACCATGTCGCAGCGCGACGTGCCTATGCGGCCAGCGGCCACACCTGGCTGGCCGTATACTGGCCTTTTTGACTGGCCCCCCAGTGGGGAGGAGGATAATGTGCCCAAACTCCAGTGGAGACTTAATTGGGTGGACGCCCTAGAGGGCCACGTGGCCACCAAGGTGGAAGCCAGCGGCTTCCATTGGCACCCAGAGGGTAAGGGCAAAGGCAAGGGCGGTTGGATTAAGATCCTCCCTTCGGAAAAGAAAAAGAAGAAGTCTCACAAAGTTGCCAGCGGCAGCACCGACCCTACCGCCTCGTCCAGCACCGCTCTGCCGACAGCGTCGGCATCGGCCTCGGACCCTCCCTTACCGCCGCCAGCGGCCGCTCCTGCTAAGCCCGCTGCGGCCACAACAGGCAGCCCGTCCGCAGCCGAAGCTGCCGACGTCGCTCCGCCAGAGGCGGAGCCTGCCATTGAAGTTATCGATACTGACAGTGATCAGAACTCGGGAGACTCCGAGGTATCCCTGGCTAGCAGCCAGGCCGCAACGGCAGTGCCGTTTTCGCCCAACGCGAACACTGTGGTCGTGTCCCGACCGCAGCGTCGCAATCGCCAGCGTGGCTGGCAGTTCCAGCCCGGGGAGGACCCCCAAAATAACGATTGGCGCAACCTGGCGTCAGCGACCGACAACAGGTACCCTGGCCTCCGTGCGTTAGTAACGCACGCCAGGAGGGTTTCTCCGCAGTTGCACGTCACAGACGTGCACGAATGGCCCTATTGGGCACAACCCAACTCAGAGAGATGGGATAGGTACCCGGAGAGGCGAGGCGACCTCATGTGCTGCATGCCCTGCGCGCAGCAGGGCTGCATTTCCCAAGGTATGGCGATTTGTGGGCGGCACTGCTCAGTGGGCAGGAGCCCTCACAATCATCACGAATGCGACAACTGCTACCGCAGCAGCCGGGGTCAGCGACCCCGAAACCGCGGCGCCCGGGGCGGTCGCCGCTAGGCTCTGAGCGCAGCGCGCAGCTGCTGGCTTCTCAGTGAGTCGCCCCAGTCACTTTTGGTGCAGTGCACCTCTTTTTGCTTCGCCGCCGACAGTTCGGCAGCCTCTGCAGGGCGGACGTCTCCGAGGCTTTTGGAACCTCGCCCACAGCGGCGAGCCGACGGCATGATTTGAAATGCGGCAAAAGTTTGCCGCTCGCCTTTTTCAGTCGTGTGTCACGCGAGCCTGGTAGGTCTCTCCAGCTGAGTCAGCTCTTTTAACCGTGTCGGTTTTCAAGCAGTGCTTTTCTACCGCAGCCTTTTCAGCTTAGTAAGTCGCCCCCTTCGTGCCCACAGCTAACAGCCTTTGTATGCTATCAGCGATGGCGAACCCAACGAACGAGCAGATGCTGCAGGCGCTCAGTGCAGTGCCGGAGGCCCAGAGGGCCGCCATCTACGAAGCCGCCGTCTCCCTATCAGAGATAGGGGACGTGGTGGTAAATGCGGCAGAGGCAGCGGAACTCGCCGGCTGGACCAAGCCCGCCAGTGGCGGCTCAGAGGCCAATGCCGTCGCCCTCCAGCGACTTCTTCTGGGCTACGAGCCCCCAGTGGTTCCTGCGAACACCGAGCCACCAGCGGCGGCCCGTGGTGTTTCTTCCGACGACCACCGCAGCGCGGTGGCAAACTCGCCTCCCACGTCGGCCGCAGCGCCGGCCTCGCAGCGCCG